CAGTGGTCGAGTTTAGAGTTTTTTCCTGGGCCGCAAAGAATCAGACGGAAACCCCAGTCAGACGTAAGAGTTCTCTTTCTTTATCGTTTTTTCCTCTCGTAGATTGGAGCAAATAATGAGAGGAATGAATTGACAACTTACAGGTAATTCTTTTAAAATTTTTCCGATTTACAGGTTTCCTATTTAATAGCCCTTCGAAAATCTGCTATGAAAAGTACGGCTGCTTCAATAAACAACCCAATGTTCGGTGGGGCCTGATTCCGATTAAACCTAGTCTGCCACAAGAGCCAAGTGTTGTTGGCACAACATTTGACATGTACACCAGGAACGGGCGTGGAAGAGTAAATGATTATGATGCAGATAAATTGAAGGCCCCAAAATTTGATATCGCGCGGCGAACAATCTTCGTGATTCACGGCTGGAGAGGTGAGTGCCTGTTTGCGGCTCAAGCACCGAGGAAGGGGGCCATGATTGGCTTACGCTCTTTTTAAAATCTCTTATGTTCGAAACAGGGTGTTTACAGGCCCTTGATGCGTTTTACGATGAAAATAAAGTATATGTACAGATGAGATTTCAACTACCAAATTTTTCAACATTTTTTATAAAATCTAGGAAAATCAACCAAGGAGTGGGTCATTGAAATGAAAGATGCCCTTTTACGACGAGAAGACTGCAATGTGATTTTGGTGGACTGGTCTGGAGGAGCAAAAACACTCTATGGACAATCTGTAGGCAATACCCAGCTCGTTGGGGCTCAGGTAGCAGAGCTGATAAGGTTCTTGATTAAGAGCGCTTCAGGGTCACCTGACTCGGCTAAAATGTTCTATATTGTGGGATTTAGCCTTGGTGGACAAACCGCAGGGTATGCCGGAAAGTATTTAAAGGAGAAAGCTCGAATGACACTTGGTCGTATTACAGGTAAAGAAACACAATTAGAATGTATACATTGGAGGTCCGGGGTTGGAGACCTGGGTGAGCCATTCTGAATGTGTTTTTGAAAAAGACAATTTTCTCTCAGAGTCTCTCTCTAACCAGGAGTATAAAGGGGTACAATGGAGGAGACATGGAAGCTTGTGAAATGCAGTGCACGGTTGAGAAAGAGCTAGTTTGTTCTCTGTGTTCCTAAACGATAAGCAATCAGGTTATATAGACGAACAAATTTCGATCCAAAATATTTTAGTGTCATCCGGTGTAAGGCTTTCCACATCATGAAAGATTTTTTTTCTGATCTTTGATGAGCGAGTTTCTGCCACCTTAGTGCCTAGCAATCGCCTAGCAGCATTCCATCCAGGGCGAGCTGCGGAATTAGCTCCATTCTTAAAAAAAGAAACTAGAATGAGATCCGGCTGATGTGGCCCAGTGCAGATTTAACCATTCTTTCCTCTCAAGGACTGGACCCAGCTGGTCCTGCTTTTGACGGCATTGCTGACCCTCGCTTCCGCCTGGACCCAAGTGATGCTGAATACGTTGACGTTATACACACCGACATGCAC